TATACCAATATCAATATTTTTTTTTTCAATTTTTATGATATATATTTATATTTATATTTTATTTAAAAATAAAAATATTATCATTTTCTCAAAATCACATAAAACCGTATTATAACATCGACTGAGACAAAAAAATAATAATATTAAAATCGAGATGTATCTCGCTACATTATCCAAGTACCCTTCTAGTAATTTTAAATATGTATTTTAAAAACGTCTTTCTTAAAATGACAATTTAACACAAATAACTTATTTTCAACATAATTTATCGTTACATTTATGTAATTGATAGGGATTTGCTGTTGACATCAAACCAGTTTGACCCCCTTACTTTAATTTAAACTATGAACACTTTTAATATATACAAACCCATTTCCCTCTGATTATGTAATAATTGTCGGAGATCTATCGTTGTCCCTAAAATATTCGTTAATTTTCAAATTCTTATCGATTAAGAATCAACTTGGTTTAAAACATATGGTTTGAACGTATTCTTTATTTAATATTTTTGTGTTTTAAAAATATGTCAAATGATAAATTATCAGTCATATAACTTAAACCGTTAAATAATTTTTTTATATTATCAATGCCTTAATGCTTAAACATATACATACGCGTGTTTGTCAACTATAACACTTGAAATTGCAGTGAAGATACAAAAAGTCAACTCTTGTTTGTCATTGACCATGGTTATTTTGATTCAAAGAGCTACACAAATTGAGTTCTTTTTCAATTTTGTATTCTCATTTATTAAATACATATTTTTTATTTTGATAATTGCTTAGACTTGATACCAATTATTTTAATCAAGAGATTGAAGTTTAGATATCATATTGACCATAAAATGACAAGCAAGAAGAATTAGGGGTCGTTTATCAAACGCTTATCCGGGTAAGCGTTTATTAAGTCACATTAACTTACCGGATGAATATGGTAAGGACCAAGAATCTTACCCGGTAAGAGCAAGGCAAGGACCAAGAGTCTTACTCGATAAGTGAGAACGATGACTCTTAACACGGTTAGCGCTTACCGGGTAAATTGTTGCATACAATGCCGTTTTTGTTGACTAAAATCTTACCCGGTAAGTAAGTGATACTATAAAATTTTACTAGTAAGCGCTTACCGGGTAAGTGTTTGGTAAACGGCCCCTTAAAGGTTCTTTACCCAAACACTTATCTGGTAAGTGCTTACCGATAAAATTTAACACTATCATTTATTTATCGGACAAGATTTTAGTCTATCAAAACGGTACCATATGCATCAATTTACCCTGTAAGTGTTCGCCGTGGTAAGAGTCATCGCCCTCACTTACCGGGTAAGACTCTTGGTCCATGTCTTGCTCATATCGGGTAAGATTCTTGGTCCTTACCATATTTATCCGATAAGGTAATATGACTTGATAAGTGCTTACTTGGGTAAGCATTTGGTAAACGGCTCATTAAATCTGATATGTGATCATTCATAACTGATTAAGAGATTTTACTCTCTGTCTAAGAGATTGTTGGGTTAGTCATTTTATATTTTTCATAATTGTTAAGAGGGAATTTTTTATTGAAAACAAAACATATTTTACAATAAAAGTACTTAATAAGATTTTTAAATATATACCACGTTACTTCTTTTACAAGGATGTTACAATAAATTATCATAATAAAGTTAGAGCATATCAAACATATTCAAAATTGAGAAAATAGGAGAATATAAAAATCTCTAAATTTAGAGAATTTCTCCAAAATAATTAATATGAGAGATAAATATATTTTTATTATATTCTTACTAATATTTTTTTTTTGAAATTAAATATTTAGAAGAGAAAAATAATATATATAGAATATTTTAATAACATAATTAATATTATAATCTTCAAAATAGAGAAATTGTTGAAGTTGAATGTTATTTATTTAAAGATATTTTCAGTTTAGAGATGCTTATGGGGGTGTTTGGGATTACTTATAAAAACAATTTATTGACTTTTCCGGTATGACATCGGTAATAAACACTTTTGAGTGTTTGGATAAATAACTTATATCGGTGCCAAACCGGTAATAACAAGTTATTGAAAAAATTAAACCCTTCTAACTTATAATAAGTTGATAAATGTTTTTATAAAAAAATCATAAATTATTTCAAATAAACAATCCTAAACATACACTTATATACAATTTTTTAATAATAAATTATTAGAATAAGTTAGAAACTCAAAACGTAACTTTCCGTTATATATGAGAAAAGCAAATAGAAAAAACAAATTAAATTTAATTTCCGCAAGCGTATTTTGAAAAGTCAAAGCAAAACTTTGGACCGTAACGTAAATTCGTGGTATTATAGGGGCCGTGGATTTATACAAGGGTATAATCGTCAATTAAGGAAAAGTCTTAAAAAAATCTAATGACATTAAAGTATTCAAAATGATTAAGTATTTGAATAAATTTTTAGAACAAACAAGTCTTTAAACATTTTAAAACCTTTTAAATAACTTTTTTTTGAATTTTCTAAAATCCGTCATATACATACTTATAACATATATAACTGGTTATTATGGTAAAATAATGAAAAAAGTATAAAAAAAGCCAATAATTTTGTATGTTTTGAAAAATATTTTTTTTTTGGTATATTTGTTTTATTTTATAAATATAAGTATTTCTTTGGCTCAATAAATATTTAGGGACTTAACTATTTAAAATATAAAGGTTTATTGGTTTTTTCTGATTTTTTCATTATTTTACTACATTAACCAGTTTTATAGGTCATAAGAGTGTATGTAACATGTTTTATAAAGTCCAAAAAGTTATTTAACAGGTTTTAAAATATCCAAAAATTTATTTATTTTAAAAAATTATCCAAAGACTTAATGATTCCAAACATTAAAATCCATTAGATTTTTTCAAAACATTTCTCTTGTAAATTAAACACAACCTTAATTAATTAATTAAATCAAACGTACAAGGACAATACCGTCATTTTACTCGGTAAGAATGGTAGCTATAATACAGACGAAAGGCTCCCGTATACCAGTTGAAGCAACATCGATTCGCTTATTAATCCTCTCTCTTTCTTGTCTTCCCAGAATTCATCTTTTGGCGCCAGATTCCAATTTAACGGTCACGATTTCAACCGAATTACTGTGTGTTCTATGTGTTAGTGTGTGAGAGAGAAAGAGTAGAGAGAGAGAGAGAGAGAAAGGGTGAGGTGCATCAATGGCGGAATCAACGAATGGTTCGTCTAGTTTCTGGACACAGGCTAACGCTTTGTTCAGAAAGAATTTGACTTTTCAGGTTTGATTTTTTTTAATGTTTATGCGTTTCCAATCTGATGGCTTTATGAATGCTTGCTTTTAATCGTTTATTCTCATTTTTCTTATTGGAATCAGAGAAGGAATTTTAAGACAAATCTCAGACTCATAGCATTCCCAATCGTTCTCTGTTTGTTACTTGTGTTACTACAAGCAATAGTCAACAACGAATTAGATAAACCCTCCAACAAATGTGGTTGCACTTGTATTGATCAAGATGGGGATGGTCAATGCGAGAGAGTGTGCGGGATTCAATACTCAGATTTGGACCAAGTGGCCACCTGTTCCATTCCTAGCCCGCCTGAATGGCCTCCCATATTACAATTACCAGCTCCACAGTATCGTGCAGTGAGAACTGATTTTCTTTCATTTGGAGACTTGCCTGGTGATTCATGTAGAAGTACAGGTTCCTGTCCTACCACTGTACTTATGACTGGGAATAATCAATCTCTTGGAGAGAGTATGTCAACTCTTCTTTTGCATACCCTTGTTAATGTCAGTTCATATTCAGCTTTCACATTCTGATCAATGTAATTTTCTACCGTATATGACAGGTTTGGCTAGAAATATGTTCCCAAGTTCATCCAATTTCAGTTCATCCAATGGCCTGACTGGTGCTATATTGGTTAGTTACTTGCATCTTAAGTGTGGTTTTACAGATTTATGTGATAAGAATTAGATCAATTTTTTTTTCTGACATGATTATTTGAAACATATCAGGGTTCTGCTTCAGAGACTGATATAATCAACTATCTTGAGCCAGCATTCTTCTCAAGTCTTCCGCTCTACTATGTTCAATCTCAGTGTGGAGCTAACTCCACGTTTTCTATTCCGATTCCAGTAGCATTCTTGGAAGTAGAGAAAGGTATGAGTTATTTAGAGATGATTTTTGCTTCCCACAAGTGCATTTCTAGTAGCTTAGATATCATCGAGCGTTAAAAATGATTTGTTGCTAATGGCATGATGCATATGGTTAAGACAAAGTACTGGTAGCAACATATCTAGCAAGAGTAGCTTTGGACTTATGAATTACAGTGTCTCATTTGTGAACTTCTGTTGGAAGCTTTTGGGAACCTGGAGTTCTCATTAAACATTTTGAAGAGGATTTATTAGACCAAGCCTACGTGTCTCTCTCTCTCTCCAATATTTGCACACACACACACACAGAAACTCTCATGGCAGGTTTATATTGTTATTGTCTAATGGATATTGTATTTTAACGTAGAAATTAGATGCGTTCAAGCTCTACATTTGTGGCGCAACAGCTCTTCTGATGTTAATAATGAGCTATATGCGGGATACAGGAAGGGAAACTCTGAGGATAAAATAAATGAGATATTAGCAGGTTGGTTGATCCAAACGTAATTTGATTGCATTTACTAAGCCAATTACCTGGCTTTGACTTTTTATTTTAACATTTTAACAGCGTATGATTTATCGAATTCGAATATCAATAATTTCAATGTGACGGTATGGTACAACTCTACCTACAAGAACGACACAGGAAATGGTCCCTCTGGACTGGTCCGTGTTCCTCGCTCAATAAACTTGGTACACATTCTAAACTTGCAGAATGCATACAATTCTTATTCTTGGCAAGAATTAATCATTTCTTAGTCAAGGCTATGGGTCTCATTAGTGTTTATCTCACTTAATATATATATTTGAGCAAGCCTCTTCTTTATGTTGTTACAGCAAAAATCTGTTTTACATAAAAAAGAAATGAACTCCTCCATGGAATCTAAGAATATTATTTATTTTCTTAATCAGATAGCATCTAATAGTGGACATATATTGTTGGCTCTGCCAAATAGGAGTTAATAGAAAGTATTCTCATGAAAACCATAACGCAAATTCTAACCTTTGCAACCCATATGCATGCAGGTGTCGAATGCTTACCTACAACTTCTGGTTGGGCCTTCCACACAAATGCTGTTTGATTTTGTAAAGGAGACACCCAAACCTGAAACCGAAATCAGGCTGGATTTTTCTTCTCTCCTGGGACCATTGTTCTTTACATGGGTCATTTTGCAATTATTCCCTGTAAGTAAATTTTTTCAAATTGTTTAGATTTTTTTTGGATAAATAAATTGTTTAAGGTTAAGTGCTAACAAATGGGGTTTTCTCTTATGGTCAATCTAATCTGTGATTGTGTTCTTTCTTTTCCCCACATCAACAGATCATAAACTCCTATCTCCAATGACCTTAGAAATCTTTTTGCTATTTGTTTCTGTCTGTCTGATATTTGATTAAATGTCTATTTAATTTTCTCCTTCCAATTAGCTTCAGCAAGCTTGTGATTATAGTCAGTTCCGACTTTAGTTCAGTATCGTATGTCTATACAAGGTGCAGGAGCTTTGTTACAAACCCACTATCTTTTTTCTCATTCCAATTTTTATAATGGATAATGCTGGATTTCGGCTCGATACTTCAATGTTCTCTAATGGTAGGAAGGGTTATCTATTAATTTGTCTATATTTGGCCGCATTTTATACAACTTATATTTTGCTTATTATGCTGTATTTTGCCCATGCTTCAATCCTGTGGGAGATTAACGTAATTTATTTTCTTATCCAAAAAGACCCCACATTTTTCTTTTTTAGCCTGCTCAATTAGTTTCGGCCAATGCACCAGCACAAGCCTTTTAAGTATAAACTGCTATACTTCTGCAGATTGTACTAACAGCTCTGGTGTATGAGAAACAACAAAACTTAAGGATCATGATGAAAATGCATGGGCTTGGCGATGGTCCTTATTGGATGATTTCTTATACGTACTTCCTTGCCATATCTTTGGTGTACATGTTCTGTTTCGTAGTCTTTGGCTCAGTTGTAGGTACAAATCAGCGAACACTGAACTACATTTCCTTTTTACTATTTTAATATGCTCAACTAATTCCCTTCAATTCGTTTCAGGGTTGAAGTTCTTCACATTAAATGACTACAGCATCCAATTTGTGTTCTATGTCATCTACGTAAACTTACAAATTTCTCTGGCGTTTCTAGTGGCTGCACTCTTCTCTAATGTGAAGACTGCTGCAGGTTCGCTGTCATATTTTCCATATCTTATGGAGTTGTTTGATTCTTTTTTGTACGAATGATGGGAATACATCTGGGTTATGATTTTTATGATATGATTATTGCAGTTGTGGGATATATTACTGTCTTTGGAACTGGTCTCTTGGGAGGATTTTTCTTCCAATTCTTCCTTCAAGATACATCATTTCCAAGTAAGTAAAGATGCAAATAATTTTGTCTTGATCTGACCATGTTGCAAAAAGTTTAGTGGCATTGAACATTGACTTTGCTAGAGCTATATATGATATTTTAATTTCCTTCATTCTCTGAGTGCCATGAGATTGATCATTCTATCTTTGTAGGAGCTTGGATTGTCGTGATGGAGTTATATCCAGGGTTTTCTCTGTATGCTGGATTATATGAGTTTTCACAGTATGCATTTACTGGAAACTATATGGGGACTCGTGGAATGAGTTGGGAAAATTTAAGTGACAGCAATAATGAAATGGCTCGTGTCTTAGTAATCATGGTTGTGGAATGGTTGGTGGTTTTTGTTGTTGCATACTATATTGACCAGGTTGTAACATCTGGAAGTGGTGTCCGGAAAGGTCCACTTTTTTTCTTGGAGAAGCTCAAAAGAAAGCCTTCGCCATCGTTCAGGAAACCCAGTTTACATAGGCAGGGTTCTAAAGTATATGTGCAGCTGGAGAAACCTGATGTTAGCCAAGAGGCAAGTACTACATCTGTACCAGCTTAGAATTAGTTTAAATAGTATCTTAAGTAACAAAATAGTATGAGAATAGTATGCTTTTGTTTTCTCTTTATATGAAACTAGTGCCCATAGTACATGGTCTGCTATCTATTGTCCAACATACCTTCTCTAAGTTTTTGTTGTAGTTGACTTTATCTAATCTTCTTGGTTATTGTTTTCTCTGACCGTTGTTAAACATCAATCCTCTCCCCTTCCACCTTCTATCAGAGAGAGAGGGTCGAGCAGTTGCTAATTGAACAAGACACGAGCCATGCAGTTGTCTGCGATAACCTCAAAAAGATGTATCCCGGAAGGGACGGAAACCCTGAAAAATTTGCAGTTAGAGGCTTGTCACTTGCATTATCACAAGGAGAGTGCTTTGGTATGCTTGGTCCCAATGGTGCTGGCAAAACTTCTTTCATCAATATGGTCAGTGTAAAGCTTCATTTATTCTTAATTCACAATTTGTTCTTCTTTATTTCAATACCAAAAAGATAGGTGCATTGTTTCATATTCTGTTATCCCTGGAGATGGATGATTAAATTATCGCACTACATTAAAATCAGCTTTATAGAATGCGAAACATGTTTAAATGTCCTAATAGACTGTTTTATAGGACTTAAGTTTGGACCAAACAATTATGCGTCCTATATAAATGTGTTACAGCAAGTTGAATAAACACTTTTGGGTGTGCTAACAAGTTTCTTAGGACACGTTTTGAAATCAAACTCTTTATAAATAAATATTATTTGAAAAAGTGTCGTTAAAAACATGTGTTCATCAAAAGTGTTTTTTTAACAAAATGTCCTAACATCCTATAGTAACACCTTTATATAGAACGCACAATTGGTTGATCTTGTCAACCTAAGTCCTAGAAATTGGTCTCCGAGGACATTCAAATATATTTGGTATCCCATAAAGCCAATTTTTCTGTAGTGTCTCCTTTTGTCTCAGTTGTTTCAGTAACTTTGGCTGTGTTTCAGTGTTCTTTCTTATGGAATGTGCTACTTTGTTTTGCTCTCCTTTCTGGGCAATCTTAAACTAAGAAAAGTGTGGTGGTGTTGACAGATGATTGGGCTCATCAAGCCAAGCTCTGGCACAGCATATGTTCGGGGTCTGGATATAAGAACCAACATGGATGGGATATATGCCAACATGGGTGTATGTCCTCAGCATGAGTAAGTACCAAAATCCCTTTAGAAAGCTTAGGGGGGCGTTTGGTTCAGGCAGAAGAATGAAAATGAGTATGAAAATAAAAATGACAGAGAATGAAAATGGGAATGAATTTTCATTCCCCTCGGTTTAACCTGGAATGAAAATTTGGGCTTTTGAAGGAATTGACCCATTATATTATAAAAAACCAAACAGTTTCTTTTATTTTCATTCCCATTCATTATTGCTTAATACCTCTTACCAAACACCCCCTTGGTTTTACTAATCATGTTGGTTAGAAAAGTTAATCTGATTCTTTATTACTAACACTTATTTTATATAGCCTGCTTTGGGAAACCCTAACAGGTAGGGAGCATCTTCTTTTTTATGGAAGGCTTAAAAACCTCAAAGGTATCGCCTTGACGCAAGTAAGTCCGCATTTACTTCCAGAGACTTTCTTGTAGAGTAATTTGCATTCAATTAAGTTGTAATCTCAAATGGACAAATGGTGCTAGTGGTTACAATACCACTAGAAAATTGGCTTTATAGGACGCCAAAGATGTCTAAATGTTTTGACTACCTTATAGGACTCACGTTTATTTGACCAAACTATTATACATCATATATTAATATGTTAGAATAGGATGTTAGGACATATTTGGACATAAGTTTTTTTGGACACTTTTCATTCAGCTTTTTATAGGGCATTCTTTTTATAAGATGCTTTTTCAAATACTGTCATAAAAGAAGACCAATAGTGCACGTTATATCAAAATTATCCTAAAAAACTTGTTTTTGGACGTCGAAAAGCGTTCTATCAACTTATTATCACATCTTTACATAGAAAAGCGCAATATTTGGTCCTATAACTTAAGTCCTATAAAGCAGTATATTAGGACACTAAGACATATTTGGCGCCCTATAAGGCCGATTTTGTTGTAGTGTGGGGAGATAAAACTGTTTAAACCAGCATCTTTAATATTGTGGGTTTTTTCGATCCTTAAACTTATTTACTTCTAAATGCTGTTGTTTCAGGCAGTTGAAGAATCTCTTCGAAGTGTCAATCTGTTCAACGGTGGGGTTGCTGACAAGCAATCTGGGAAATACAGTGGAGGCATGAAGAGGAGGCTTAGTGTTGCCATTTCATTGATTGGAGATCCCAAGGTATCCATTGACTTTCTGACAATCCGTGCCATCTATCTACTTGACTTTCTGACTATCCTTTGTCATGCCTTGCTAATATTGACGTCCAACAACATTTCTAGGTTGTGTACATGGATGAGCCCAGTACCGGGCTGGACCCAGCTTCAAGAAACAATCTATGGAACGTGGTGAAGCAAGCTAAACAAAATCGTGCAATCATTCTCACCAGTAATCCTCCAATACCCTTTCCTTTCAATAAGCCAAGAATATAAGCAAGAAAGTGGTTGAAAGCTATCAACAACAACTGTATACGATTTAATGAGCAGTCACCTAAGACCATGTCTGGCCACCATAAGCTAGCTTATTTTTGAGCTTATTGAAAAAGTCCCGTTTGATTAGCTATAAGCTAGCTTATCGAAAAGCTATTTCAAGTGAAGTTTCAATAAGCTCCTGAAGTCTTTTTTCCATTCACCCCCCTTTTACTTTTCCAATCATTTTACATTTTCATCTAGTTCATCAGCTAGTTTTTACCAAACATAGACTAGTTTGTTGGTTAACAGCTAGTTTATTATCTATTAGTCTATATTATTATGTATTATATTTTCAATACAATTTACATTTAGGTACCACCGACTATGCTAAGTATTGAAAATATAATACATAATAATATAGACTAATATGTTAAGGTTTTGATAATTCGTGTCTTGTCCCTTCTCATTCCTCAATATTTATAGCAATACAATTTACATTTAGGTATCACCGACTATGCTAAGTATTGAAAATATAATACATAATAATATAGACTAATATTATCCAACAACTCGATTTTAGCTGACAGCTCATAAGCCAACAACTAGCTTATCAACCAGTTTGCCAAACATAGCCTAATGGCGAAACATCATTTGGCTGTTTGCTGCACAAATTTACAACTGGTATATTGGTCTTGCCTACTTGGTGAAAATAATCAACTTAACTCTAAAATATCACTTTTGTTGGATTTTTCTGTCACAGTTTTTAAACTTGTTTTCTTGATCATTCAAGCATTCTTCTTCTGCAAATTAATATACTTGATATGGTGAATACAAATGTTTCAGCACATTCTATGGAGGAAGCGGAGCATCTTTGTGATCGATTAGGAATTTTTGTGGATGGCAGCTTGCAGTGCATTGGAAATCCTAAAGAGGTACCGCTAGTTCTCATTTCATCATGTAAAAGTTGTACCTGGATGCACTCACCTAATCACTCCCTTTAGTATCGTGATCGATACATGCATATGCAAACAAATCATTACATATCTTTCCAAGGGGACTTCCCTAGCTGCCCATATGAAACGATACTTACATATACAATGATTACATTCCCAACTTTGATTTCTGAGTACCAAATGGTCAAGTTATTAAGATAGCATTGGATTCTGCGGAACACTTATTAGCTTTCTGCTTTGAATGATGATATACAGTTGAAGGGTAGATATGGAGGTTCATATGTGTTCACAATGACAACATCATCAGATCACGAAACGGATGTTGAAAATCTTGTAAAGAGTCTGTCGCCGAAGGCTAATAAGATATACCAAATATCTGGGACACAGAAGTTTGAATTGCCTAAAGAAGACATCAAAATAGCAGATGTTTTTGGAGCAGTTGAGAAGGCTAAAAGCAGGTTCAGCGTTCAGGCATGGGGCCTTGCAGACACCACTCTCGAGGACGTTTTCATCAAAGTTGCTCGAGAGGCTCAACCTTTGGATGTTCTCACATGATCATATTTTATATATATATATATATATATATATATATAGGAAGGATCATGCGAGAATTTAAACATTTGCGAGAAGATGAGAAGTCTCAGTATCATATATATATATATATATATATATATATGATTACACTTCTTTCGGTGTGTTTAATCATATATGATTAAATGTTTATGTGTTGTAATGCGATTGTATTTAATCATATATGATTAAACTTGTATATATACGTGTAATGATAGATGATATTGAAATTTCTTGTCTTTTCGGAAAATGTTTAGCTTCTCATTTGAACCTGCCCTATATATAGATTTTTTGTTTAGAAACACATACACACACACACACACACACACACATATATATATATATATATATATATATATATATAGGAGGTTTACTTTGCAAACCACGTTATTTGTACAAAC